AAAAAAAAAAAAAAAAAAAGATAAAGAAAAGAAAAGCAGTGAGCTACAATAGCTATCTGAAGCTGGGAGACACTACTGACTACTCACTCTTCGCAAAGGGCTCAGCAGCACACAGCCTCCCTGTGGGGATGCCCTCGGGGAAGATGTGGCCCAGAGTAGTCTTTTAGGCCCTGCTCCTCACTCCTGGCTCTTAATAGGACCCTCAGCAGTCAAACTAGCACAGCCCGAGCCAGGCTGACCTTAAAAAGTAAGAATTCAGGGCCTAGGGACCTTGAGCAAAGCAGAGAAGTTAGCGTCAGATGAGGTGCAGCGGATATGGTAGAATAAGGTGTTCTCAGGTCCCCAGTGCAGCCCCCAGATAAGACTGCAGTATTTTCCTTATATGATCTGGTCCCACCGTGGGCAGCGCTGCATGCCCAGAGCCTGAGAGGATTATGAAAACATGGCAAGGGAAGTGAGGCCAGGGAACCCAGCATGGGGGCGTGAGGAGAAGGGGACGGTGGGTGGGGCTAGAGGACAGGGAGTTTAGGGAGGCCTCTGCTGCTGTGACTGTGAGCCCCAGCCAATGATGATGTGGCCACTGCACAATCTGAGTTCTGGGAACCACGTGGTGGAGTGTGTTCTGGGAATAGACTGCAGCAAGGAAAAAAAAAAAAGCAGAAGGGTGCACCCTCCCTTCCCTGGCCAGGAAAACATTTCTGTAGCCCTTGCAGGCCCACTGCACGGTAGTGAGAGGGAGGAAAGCCAGGCTCATGTTTTCCTTGGTTGTGCTTCAACTTCTAAAATATGTTTTTACTATGAACATTTTAATGAGGGGTTGGACATAAGACAGAAAAATAACATTCTGATAGCTTGTTTGGAGGTCCTAGCAGGGGAGCGCAGCTACTCTTATACCTTTGACTGAAGACCGATCCTCCTCTATCGGGGATGGTCATCCTCTTCCACTGAGTGCACAGCTTCTGGAGGGACACACACGGAGCAGTGAGGGAGGAAGGGGATACCTGCCCAGTCAGCCAGATCAGTCGAATCAACCCTGGTGATCAATGGGGTGACAGATGTCGCAGCCAGATCACCCTCACATCCCAAAAATAACATTCAGATTGCATTTTTTTTTTTTAAGATATAGACTTTTCTTGAGACTTTCATACATACAAGGCAATGGATAGACAACCTTAACCTCCTAGAGAAAACACACATTGGCCACAGAAAAAAGGCACTTCTCCATATACCTACCATAGTTATCAGCAACTTTTGAAATGGTCTCTCAAACTCTCAGGGGTTGGCTTGTTTTGCTTGCTTTTGCAAATAACTCAGGCTTAAGTCCTGCTACTTTCAGAGCCTAAGGAACACTTAAGGACTACCATCAGTTTAAGGACTACCATCAGTTTAACATGGTGGCACTTGGAGCACATGCTACTTATGGTGGTGAGGAGGGGTGCTGGTGTGAGGGTCTGCAAGATTGCCTCTTCTCTGGCAGGGTGTGAGCAGCCAGAGACCACTACCTGGGCAAGGATGCTTGCTCAGTGTCCATGGAGGGACATGTGATCCAGCAGGTGGGCAGGGACCAGGCCTCTGTGGCCGCCCAACTCTCCATAATAGAATCCTTGATCATCCATAGGCCCATAAACCATGACCACATCTCCTGCCCTCAGCGCCAGCCTGCCCTTCGCCTGGCCCCCTGTTTGCCCATCCATGGGATCATAGTCCAGAGCTGCTATCATGGTCTTTGGAGTCCACAGTGGGGGCCTCTTGGAGTTCCCTTGGAGCACCAAGGAGGAACCCTGGGGGATGGTGAGCCCCTGAAAGTCCTCAAGGTGGGCCACAGAAGGCAGGTGCCCTTGGGCCGGCAAACACCACGTCCTGTCAGTCTGCTCTGTGCCCACCTCCATCTCAGCCACTAAGTGCCCAGGTATATTGCCCACTTGCCTGTTGCGCTCGCTGAGATAGAAGCCGTGGGTGTCCTGAGAGCCCCACACTCTTAGCAACTGCCTTTTCTGGAAGACCAGCTCCTCCTCTGCAGCCTTGGGGTTGGCAGACATTACCAGGGGGCTGTAATCAGAGAGGGCCACAAAGACCCTGGCTGGAGTGTTGGCCCCTGTCCCCAGCTGTTGGGGGCCACCCCTGGGCATCTCGATGACTTTGGCAGATGGAGCTGGACACGGTGCTGAGCTGGGCTCGTGGAGCTGGCACTCTCTCTTGGCCCCCAGAGCCTGTCCTTGCCTGCTCTGGGGCTTGGGCTCCCTCCTCTCCTCTTGCCTCTCTGTGCCCCACGGATCCAAGCACAGTGCCTCCTGCTCCTCCTCCAAAATGTTATGGAAGTCAGATGCATACTGTTGGCTGGCGCCCAGCTGGGGAGGTGTGAACCCTTGGGCATCTTGCTTTTGCCGAAGTATCCTCTCAAGGGCAGCCTTTTCCTGACACAGTTCTTTCCTAGACCCACACTTGGTGTGTAGTTGGATGAATCCTGGAGCAGGGCTTTTGCTGGTGCCCATGTGCTGGTAGCAATTTTCCTTCTCCCCAGGCTGGTCACTGAGCAAAGGTGGTCTGTGATGCTGGGGACTCTTCTGAAAGAGCAGGTCCTTTCTACAGCCCTCCCAGGCCTCTGCAAGCTCCTCGGCTTGGCTGCCAGTCCCTGAACTCAGATATTCTCCTTCTGAGCCCAGGTTGGACACTGGGGATTGCCTCCTTGGTGGTTCTTCAAAGAATGCTTCTAGGAACTTGTCCTGGGGCTCCCCACAGCTTCCAGGGTTGTGGGGGCTGGCCTTGGCATTCAGAGGAGCCAGTGCCAGCTTCTGGGGGCAGACGGGGAAGGTGACTCTGTAGGTGGATGGGTCGCCACAAGTGTAGCTGAAGGGTGGAGTCTCTGGCCATTGGTGACACATGAAGCAGTCCTCGGGGATCTGAGCTGGCACCGAATCCAGGGACTCACCACAGAGTGACATGGTTCTCACTGAGACCTTCTGCCACGTTAGGGGCACCTGTAGCTGGGAGAATTCCAATAGAGTGCTCCCAGCAGTGGCATCGGTGACCTCACAAACCTTAAGCCCATCTGCATACACAGCATAACCGGTGACCTGGACTCCATTGGAGGACCCAGCTGAGTCAATGGTCACAGGGAGCCAGCTGACCACTAGGACGCCTGGCGAGGCATGGCGCTCCACCAGCACATCCAGTGGCGGGTGGGGAGGTCCTGCCAAGAGTGTGTCAAAGGTGATGGTGGAGGACATAGTTCCCCAATACACCTGCAGCAAGTCCCATGGCAGCCGCACCTCCACCCGCGCCTGGTAGTGCATGCCAGGGCACAGGCCCTGGAAGGTGTAGCAGCTCACACCCGCTGGGGTCAGGGCATGCTCTCGGTCATCAAGATACACCACGTGGGGGTGGCGGTGGCTGCTGTAAACCCAGGTGATCTTGGCTGATGTGGCTGTGACATTCTGCAGGTGTAGCTGCATGGGAGCCATACGGAGCACCCCTTTGGTCCCCAGAAGGGATCTGGAAAGGCCCTGCTTCCCCATGCTCTGCAGCAAGCCCAGCTGGCAGGCTTCCATCTTGGTATCCAGGATCTCTGTTGCTACTTCTGTCTTGGAGCCCACCCTTACCATCTGGTATAGCCCTCTGTTCACCACTCCCTGGGCTTCCCCAGGTAATAAGCTGTCTTCCTCCAGAGCTTCATCTTGCCCAGCTGGGAGTTGATGGGGGCGTAGGTCAGGGGATTTTGCAGGCAGGCAGCCTGAGATGTAGCTGTCTGGAATCTGCTCCACCAAGTTGGAGGGCACCAGCCCCCGCCGGCCATCCTCAAGCTCCCCCTCATAAAATCCATCTTCATCCATGTCCCCAAAGATATATATGTAGTCCCCAGCTGTGAGGGGCAGCTCACCCTCGGGGTGATCATTGGGCCCCTCGAATGGGTCATAGTTATACTGAGCCATAAAGATCTTGAGCTTGGGGGCAGCAGGAGCCACTGAGCCCCCCACTTCCAGGGCCAGGGACACGCTGTCAGGCTCCAGGTCATCCACCTCACTGGCTGTGTCCCTATCCAGAGTAGGGCAGGATGGCACGGTGGCCCACATCGACCCCTCAGAGGAGGAGTTTGACTGGGAGCTGGTTTTCTTGGACACAGGTTGGCTGGCAGGGACTGTCTCTGAAACTTGGGGGACACTGGCTGGCTCCCCAAGGGCAACTGGGCTCTCCTCGAGGGAGACTTCCCTTTTCTCATGTATGTCTCTGTTGGGCTGTGACACTGTGTAGTCTTCAGGCAGTGCCTGGAACTTGGGCCTTCTGCTACCCTTAACTTGGGACTCCGGCATTTGACTGGTCTCCCAGGGCTGTTCGGGAGGGTGAACAGGCTGACACTGGAGCGCCTGTATCTCCTTCTGGGAAGCATGAAGGTCACACAGGGCCTTCTGCGGGTCGCATTGCAGCTGCTGCTGCCTGTCCTGCCCGCGCGCCGCCTGCTGCAGCAGCTGTTCAGCCATCAAGCCGGCGGCATCGCGCTCTTGACACGCGCGGCCCACCTGGCCGCGCACTTCGCTATTCTCAGCCTCCACCTTCCTCACCCAGTCTGTCTTGGCCTGCAGCCGCCCATTCTCCTCCGCCAGCCAGGCGTTTTTGAGCAGCGCCGCCTGCAGCTGTGTCTCGGCCTCCTCGCCGCGTCGCCGCGCCGCCGCCGCCTGCGCGCCCAGCTCCTCGCACTCGCGCCGCCGCTGGTCCAGCTCGCTCTCCAGCGCCAGCATCTGCCGTCGCACCTCCTCGCAGGTTGTGCTCTGGCCACCCGCCTCGGGCCTGGCGCCACCGTTGCCCTGCTGAAGCGTCAACTGCCTCTGCAGGCGCAGCACTTCCCGCTGGGACTCGCGCTGCAAGCGGTCTAAGTCTCTGACGTTGAGCCACTGGGTGCAGGGGCCTCCCCTTCCAGTATGCGGGTCGCTGCAGGGGCCCGAGGCGACACGCGCCTGCAGGAGGTGGCACTCCTGCCGCAGCTCTTCGATCTGCTTGTCCTTGGCCAGCAGCGCGCTCGCCTGCTCCGACAGGTCCTGGGCGCGCTGGCGGGCAAAGGCTTGGCATAGCTCCAGGCCGGCGCAACTCTCGCCGGGCACAGGCGCGCTCACCGCCCGAAGGTTGGTCTCCTCCAGCTTGCGGGCGCGGTCAGCTAGGCGCCGCGCGAGCCCGGTCAGCTCCGCGCGCTTTACCTTGAGCCGCTTCACCTTCTCGTCTGCCTGGTAGGGGCAGCCTGCACGCCGCAGCTGCTTGTTCTCCTCTTGCAGGGTAGAACAGCGGCGCGCCAGCACCCGCAACGCCTTGGCCAGCAGCCAGTTCAGCTTTATCAGCTCTTGGTGGCCCAGGCCCGGGGGTGAGGGAGTCAGGACTTTGCAGGGCTGGCTCTCAGAGCCTTCTCCTCCCTGCGGGTTGCTGAGTTTCCTGTGGACTGATGGTGGTAGTGGTGGCAGGAGTGGCGATGGTGGCGGCCAGAGTGGCGATGGTGGCGGCGGGAGACTCTGGGAGCCAGGGATGGAGGTGTTTGGTGAGGAGGACCGCTCCTCGGATTTGGAGGCCTTGGGGAGACTCCGGGTGCTGTCAAGCGAGCGGGAACGTGCTGGTGCGAAGCAATCAAGGGAGCTGGCGCGCGTGGAGAGCAGTTCGTCTAGGGAGCTGGAGCACGCAGAGGACACCAGGTCAAGCGGGCGGGAGTGGACACCGACGTCGGCACTCAGGCTGTCTAGAGATCCGAGTTGACAGGCGGGTTTAGGGGCGTGGCAAGAGCCGCTCGAGGTCTGGGGCAGCCGCTCTTCCAAGGAATGCACAGCTTGGGGGTCCGCGGGTTCCGACAAAGCGGGGTTCCTGCGGAAGTGCTCCAGGATGTACTTGAGGAAGAGCTGGCGCTCCACCTCCAGCGCCGCCTGCAGATAGCGGATGCGCGCCGCCTGCTCGCCGTCAGTCTGCCAGCGAAGCTGCCCCAACACTTCCTGCAGGCGACAGCGGCACTGCCCCGCGGAGACCTCGGACGCCCCCGGGCGGCTACAGTGGCCGCGGTTCACCAGCTCCTCGGCCAGCTGGCGCTGCAGTTCCCGGGCTTGGCGCACCACGCCATCGCGCTCACGGTGCAACAGCTGCTGCAGCTGCCGCTGTTCGGCCTCTTTCCAGCGCAGCAGCTGCCGGATCTCGGCCTCGCGTTCCCGCTGCATCTCCTCTTGCAGCTGCCGCAGCTCCCGGCCGCGCTGTGCCTCCCACTTGGAGCGCAGATGGTCAGCCAGCTGCCGCCGCTCCCTCTCGGCCTC